CTTAACCACTACACCAAACTGGCTACACCAAAATTTATTTATTTATTATCAAATTTATACCCCGCCCTCCCCACAAAGCATGATCTCTTTGAGACTTTGGGGGCAGAGTTATTCGAAGTACAGCCGTTTTACCCTTCATAACAAATGGACACATTCTAGAGATGTTGACTGACTACCCAGATATGGCACCTCTTACTTTTATCCTTTTGATGAATCTGTTGCTGTACGTTAACCACATCTATATCTTGGCAATTTAGCCTGACACTACTGATGAGTACCATCAAACGGCAAAAGCACAGCGCACTAATGAGCTGCTGAGCAGTTGTCAGAAGCATCACTCCTAATGGAACAAAATTGCTTTATAAACAGACGGGCCAGGAGGCTGGAGAATGACTAATCGGAAATTCTTTGAATTGGCTTGATTCATGAGTAGAGAATCTAGTTTTAATTGGAGCAGGGGGCTGACTGTATTTTAAGAGATTGGTTTAGGAGTTTGTCCCCTTGCTGTTTGTCTCTGTATTTTGTACAGAAAGTTGAGCGAACGTTTGTCCAGTGAGTGACAATGGCACGTATTCATAGCTGTAAGTCCTCCACTAAAGAAAACCAAATTCTATCCTCAAAACAAGAAATGCAAATTAGCCTTACAAATAATTTATTCAGAGAGTGGTCACTTTCCCCTCATGCAAAGCACATCTCCCATCTACTTTCCCACTCACTACCAGGCACCTGCTGTGTTCCACAATAAATATGTCCTCTCAAATATGAATCGCCAACTAGAGCCTTTTGGAAGCTGGAAACGTGTCACAACTTTATGGGCATTGATCCCTTTTTTGGTTTTAAAAGCGTCTGTGGGTCTTTAGAACAAAAGGAACTCTGGAAGTTGTTTCCCCTGATTTAGAAACTTGGGGGAGGGGAAGCAGGGAGATTAACATTTCAAGTTCCAGCTTTAAACAGGCTGGGTAGCAAACACATATACAGGGTCCTGTACCGATAGGTGGCAAATTGCATGCCTGAAATGGATGACATTCATATTCTTATATCATTATGATTCATGCTTTCAGAGCAAGCACGTTTCAGGTTAGTAGTACTTCAGGCTTTGCAGAATCTGAATGTTTTGCTTGTCCTTTCTTGGCAAGCTTTATCTTGGGAACCGGATGAGAGTTGTAGGTAAGGGATGTTTCCCAAATCTATATATCTAATAGCGAAAGGTGCCCCCTGCGTGCGGATACCTAAATCCGCGCATCGGGGGCACCTGGGGGGGAGGGAGATTTTCTTGCACACTTGGGGCAGTCCCCAGGTGTGCACAAAAATCTAAAAACACGGAGGGTAAGGGCATGCAACAGGGACAGGTGGTAGATTTACATGTGTTGGTAGACACTTATTATTTGCAGAACTACTATAGCCCCTTACACACCTGTGCTTTGATTTCGTATTATGATTAGATTTCTCCTTGGACTTGCCCTACCCTTTCAGTACTTTACAAGGTGAAATGCTGGCTGGCTTTGTACTTGGCAGGATATCTGGCTAATAGGATGAACGCTTCTGAACCAAGTGAGCTGTTTCAGCATTCTGTTTGTGCTGCCTCCTACCCTTGACCTGTGCAAGGTTTTACTATTTTTGCCGGAATGCCTTACGAGCAATTTCCCATAGAAATTCCGCTCAAGATTTTATTTTTACTTTTTGTCATCCTCAAGCTAATTGAAGAGAAAATGTGGCTGATCACATTCCCTTGTTGACAGCAGCCTTGCCAGAAAAATCTGGCATTCACTATGGCAATAAAAAAAAAAAAGATTCTGGCTGGTACTTACAGTTTCGGAGTCTCTCTTCTCTCACGTACAATTCAAAGTGAGGCATGTAAAGAATTTGCCAGGTTGCCCTGCTTTGCCAGTGGTGGTGTATTTTTTAAGCATTCAAAATTACGCCCACCTGTGATTTGCTGCATCACTTATACCAGCAACTTACTGCCAGGTTGTATTCACATGCTGTGCTGCAGAAATAACACTGCCATAGCGATGGAACTGTAGAGGCTTTTTGGCAAATGTGGTGAGAAAACGTTCATTTCTAACACACGCGAAAGGAAGCCTGGTAGTTCTCTGACAGGCATGCCTGGTATTGAGGGAATGGATGTTTAATTTCCTTGTCAACAGCCCTTGAAAAGCAGCATCCTTTGGAGGGCGTTTCAGCCTTCCTGGACAAATAAAGGTTCAATGGGTTCCCTCTATGAAGTGATTGCTATAAATACTTCCTAAGTTCTGAGCACAAGTAGCGATGGCCTTTCTAGACAATTGGTGCATAGTACAAGAATTGTGCAATTATTTGTACCATCTTTGTCTAGGCGGAATGTGATGGTAGAGTCTTTAAGAGGAGAAGTGTACTATACGATTTCAAATTGTGCGTTGTGGTGTTGGGGATATTGTTTGAAATGTTCTCTCATGTTACAAAATAAGCAAACAGAGTTCCCTGCCTGAAGAAAACTAGCATAGCTCAGATAGAGGTTTTAGTTGAGCTGTTACAAGGGTTCTGTTTGTAGAGCGGCATTAAAAATGTTACCCTCCACTCATTGTGGTCTGAAATAGAATGATTATTTTATTGCCTCATTTAGGAATTTATTTATCACTCTGTTTATATACCACCTGCTGCCAATGCATTGAAGGTGGTCTTCTATTTAAAATATTAAAAGGCAAAACAGTAGAAACACCCTTGTAGTTATGTTTGACTTTTTACCACTATATTCCTAATTCCCTTTTGTGATGGCCTTTGGCTACATACAATAAATAAATGTATGTCTGTCAGTAGAAACACCAGAAATCCGCTCAGGCTTTCATGAGCAGGTGGCAGGAGATCCTTGGCTTGGTCTTCTCTTCTCTTTCAGGAAATCTGGGAAGGGGAGGGAAGATGTCCCTCAGCTAGACTTTGTCAGTTCTTGTGTCGTTTTCAGGAAATGATAGCTCCCAGGCCTGGGCTCTCCCACCTCATCCTGTAAGGAAATCTAATCCCATTCACCTTCCCAGTTATGGGGATGTTGCATTTGTCAGGCTTTAAGGCACATGTCACTTGGTGGGTTCCATCTTTCTTTAAACTTACATAACTGTTGAGCTTACGAGTGCATAATAATGAGAATCTGTCATGTAACTGCCTGTGACAGGGGTCCTGAGTCCCATTGCCCAGGTGATTTTCTTCCTCCTCAGTTTTTTAGAAGATCAATTTTATTGTTATCAATTTATTTATTTTTTAACAACTGAGCACTCACCACTGTATCATCTAAGCATGGGAGTGCTCAGATAACCTTTGTTTCTTTGTTTTATTAAAATAGCAGTTTCCAAGCAAGGCTGTCCCTGCTCAGTGTAGCAATACCCTAACAATTTACAAAGGTTCATTGTTCTATATTTTAACTAATTAAAAACTGAAATATACTTGTTTTTTGTTTTTTAAAGGCAGAGTTTACTTCCCTGCAGCAACTGACATTCATTATTTGTTTTGTTAAAGTTTATGCACGGGAATTTCAATACAATTGTATTGGCTCTAAGGATGTCCATAGGGGTTATGAAGCATTTCATTCCTTAAAAAAGAGGGCAGAATTGGTATGAGAGGAGCCTGTGTCAACAGTTATCCAACCTTGGCCCAAGGCAGAGACTATCACAGCTGCAATCACCCTTAGAAATACTTTCTGAGGGGGTGGACTGTTGACATGCAGTGTTTGTTTTTATTGTTACCATTCCTTCCTATTCCTGCTGCTGCCACCACCATTCACCACCATTCACCACCATTCTGCCACCATTCTAGCTCTAATGTAATGATAATCTGAACCATTTAGTTTAGCGTTTGGCAATATGGATTTTACTTTTTATATGTGTTCTGGAAGGCAAAAAAGCTTGAGCACTTAGCAAAGCTAAATTGGACACACTGAATCTTACTCTGCAAGCTCTAAATAAGGCACCCAATTTAAGCAGCGTGAATTTATGCATTGAGTTAACGGCTGTTGTTTAGAACAAGTTGGATGTTCTCTGGGATTAGCAGAACCTACTACAACAGAAGTGCTAACATTGGCTGTCAGCATAATGAATGTTTTGCTGCTGCTCTCTGGTTTGAGACTCATTCTGTCTTTGCAATATATCTATTTCTGTAATATTCTTTCTTTATTTACAAGATTCCAGTGATGCACAAGATCCTTTACACAGTAACAGTGAATCACATTCTGGTCTATTCTAAAACTTGATTTGAAATGAGATTCATTCCGGTATTTGATCATGCTTTGATCTGTATCCAGTTGCGAAATGTTCTCGTCAAGACACCTTTGTCTTGTTAATCTAGCAGATTTGTCACTTTGACTAAGTCAAAGCCCGGCTGCTACATTTGGGCAAGGTGGAGTTTTATTCTGGGCACTGTATATGTGGAGCTCAAAGTGTGGTCAATTGTTTCCTGTCTCATTTTAGCCCCCCTCTGTTTAGATCAGCCCTTTTTTGGTTGTTGCCAACAACCACCGATTGGAGCAGCATTTGGGGAAGCATTTAGGACTACAGCAGGACGAGAAGTTGTGCTTCCAAGGACTTAAGTCCTTCCATACTGAGAAATTTCAGGCAGGATCCAAGCATTTTTGCTTGGGCTTTATTATCAGCATTTCAGTGTTGTTAACTATACTTTTTTAAATTAACTAAACTTAATTTAATCCCTAGGAGTTTTTTGTTCTTAGTGCAATCTAGTGGCTGAGGCTTGAAGTGGGGGAGATCTTTGTTTTCCTGTGAGGTCACTGGCTGGTTTTAGGCAAAGCCCTTTCTCCTACTGATCAGTGTTACAGGGGACCGTTGTAGCAACTGATAAAATAACACATGTAAAACTCTTTGAACACTCTAAAGCATTATGTTTATATAAAGTTTTTTCAGACTGTACTTTTTCATGCTGTGTCCCTAAGGAACATTTCAGATTTCCCCTTTTCCAGATAGTAGCTCTCTAGTAGAATTGCCAGGAATTCTCTAAAAGCCCATCATCCTTTCTTACCTCAGGTGACTCAGGGTGACATGAAGTTGTGCATTCAGCAAGAATTTGACAAGGTACGTCGCCTGGTTTGTGAAGAGGAAGAGAAAGCTCTCCACCTGGTGGATCTTCAGGAAGCCTTGGCCACTGCTCACACAACAGAGGTTCTGGCAGAAATAGATGTCCGCATGGCAAAATTGATGACAGAAATGGCAGAGCTCACAAGACAGCTGAACACCTTTAATGAGCTAGCCCTGCTGAAACCTGAGGTAAATAAAGAACATATGAAGCAGTTAATAGAGGAGGGCTGTAAAGCTTTATGATGGATGCAGAAGTTTAGTCTCCTTCATTGCTTGTCAGCATTTAAAGATGGCCACAAATCCACTAGACTTCCAAAAGGATATGCGGCGTTGTAAGTAATAACCCATTATGAGTTGTGTGTGGTTATCTTGATACCCAATTGACTTAGGTGGTTTGAAAGGGCAGACAGCTAACAGCCTCCATCCATTTGAAAAGGGAACTATAGTTCTTTTACAGGAGCAAGGTATAATGTTGTGCATCAGAACACACAGACAGAATTTAGACTTCCTTGTAACCTCTTGATTATATCCTTTCTTTATTCAAGGTAGAGGGATTATAGTGTAATACTTTTTTTTTTTAAGTTGAATTAGTTACATTTAATCTCTCTTCCTTTTCAAATTAATGTGACAGCAAAAAAGTGGGGAGAAAACAGGGCAATGGGATGAAGTTTAGTTGAAAGCTTTGCTGCATAAAACTTTGGCCTAGCACTTAAAAGCCAGTTGAGTAGGTGAGCTTAAAGGGAGAAGGCATTCCACAGGTGGGGGTGCCAACATAAAAAAGCTCCTTTGCCTGCATCACCTCTGTGGATGGAAGTGCTGAGATTAGTGCTTGAGATGATGGCCTTAATTGACAGGCTGGATGGGATGGGAGAGGTCATCATTGGGGTGCCATGTCCCAGGTCATTTATTTAGAAGATGATACCACCTCTCCAAGGAACATGCTTGAGTCAGCTTGATAAACATGATAAAACATCATAGAAATAATTAAAATTTAAGAATAATGTTAAAAACCCAGCACTGAAACCCAGCTAAGACATAAAAACATCATAAAACAGTTCTGAAACTAGAAGCGGACTGTAAAAAGATCAAGCCCTGAATTAAAAGCCTGGGCAAAAAAAAGTTTTTGGGCCTGGCACCTAAAAGAGAGTAGGGTAGGTGCCCGGCAGACCACAAGAGGAAGGAGATTCCATAGGTAAGATGCCGTCGCTGGAAAAACCCTTTCACCTTTGCAGTGGGAGACATGGAGAGCAGAGCTTGTGAGGAGGACCTTAAGAGTTGGGCTGGACAGTGTGGAAGAAGACAGTCCTTCCAGTATCCTGGCCACAAGTCATTTTGGGCCTTTAAGATAGGTACTAGTATTTGTGCCTGTGACGACCCCTTATTTGGGGAGGTCTGGTTTCTCTTTAAAAGTGTTCTTTATGTTTTTCTCTACTGGGTAATCCGGCTGCCACCAGGAAATTTATAAGGCTTTCCAAACCTTTATGCTTTACTATTTCAATAACAGGGTAGGTGGATAGAAGGTTTAAGCTTTTGAGGATCTATGTGGTCTGAGGAAGGATTCTTTACTGAGCTGGTATACTTGAAGGAAATAGGATTTATTTAAAGAAAGCATAAATGGGAGGGTAAACAATGTAAACAGTACTGGGAATGGTTTGAACAAATGCTTGGTGTCTCTCACAAGCTTCTCCTTTACTGACAGGGAGGTTTCAAGCAACTTTGTAACACTTTTCACTGTACTTTCCCCTAGACTCTCAGCTTTCACTTGTAACTCCTATAACACAGAACTGAATGTCTCTCACACACAAATATTTAACTCAGAACTCTTATATCACACAAAACTGCTTCACAGGGATAAGTCTCCTTCCCTCAGAGACAGAACTTAACTGACTTAACTGTCTTTCTCCACAGTCATCTCACTGTCACTCTTGACAGACATAAATATCATCCACACAGCATCTCTTCCAAAACCCCTCCCCCTCTCTGTCACTCACCAATCACACCACTTGCCTGTTTCAACCACACTAGACTTTCATACAGCTATGCATCCAAACTTTTAAAGACACACCCACATATAAACAAGGAATCGTTACAGTGCCCAATAACATATGGATACTCAGGGCAGATCTATCTGTACAGGGATGGTACAATCTCTGTATCCTCTCTCCAACAGCAACCTAGCTGTTGCATTTTGAACAGTTATCTGGATGAGATCAGAACATGGATCACACCTCTCAAGGAACGACTTTAGCTAGCACACAGCTGACAAAAGGCTCTATGTGCCATGGAGGAGACCTGAGCCTCTAACCGTAGACTAGGATAAAGTAGCACCCTCAAGTTATGCTCTTTAAAGGGTGTACAACCCTGCCCCCACCAGAACAGGCTAAATCCTTATTCCCCAAGCATCTTTATTATTCACCAGTAGCACATCAGTGTTGTCTGTGCTTCAATTCAGTGGCCTTCATCTACCCAGATACCTTTTCTTAGCATTTTTTTCAGGACTTCCACAGACTCACTGCCATTGGAGGAAATACAGCTGAGTATCATGCACATATTGACAACACGCCACATATACACATACATTCTTGTATGAATCTGAAGATCATTAATAGAGGCTATAGTACGCCCTTAGTACTACGTTATTTTTTGGACCTGCTTTTTCCATCTGTGTTGATTATGTGGATTCCTGCTTGTACGTTTTCTTGTTAACTGGGTGATGAGCTCTCAGTTGACCCTTCCTTTCTCTGGATAACAATAGCCTGTTGATCTTACTGTTCTACATAGCTTCTAGTATGCCTTCTGTATTTGTATTCTCTTTTAATACAAACACCACAAACTTCTCCATCTTGGCTTCAAGGCATTAGCATACATCTGTACATTGTATCCCTCTCCATATGTCTGTGTTTTAATGTATGCATTTCTCGCTATGATATCCTCATCTTTTTAAATTGTGCTAATTAATTTTAGTTTTAGTATATGCATTTCTCACTTCCCTCATCTTTAAAAATTGCATTGATTAATTTCTGTATGCTTGTAGCTAAGTTGTTATTTTTGATACAGTAATGTCAGTGTGCACGGTGCTTCATATAGGAACAAAACCAGCAGCAAAGGAGCTTATAGCCTACGAGTTCTACCCTGTCACCACCATCTCAGACATGCGCATCATTATCCTGAGGAACATTTTACCCCAAACCAAATCTTTGCCAAAACAACCCTCGCCTCCCACCAGCCTGTGGACCACTGGCCCTCTTGGCCTTGGAAGTGAGAGGGGAATGGATTAGGCATGCTCCTCTCTCCCTGGTTTCTCTGTTTCATTGTTAGGAAAGAAGGGATGGCATCTCCTCATCAGCCCTGTCCCTCCAATTTTTAAATGCAGCCCTGCAGGCAGCGCATGCCTCATAAGCAGGGGTCATTTCGTAGAAAAAGAGCTAGGGGAACTCGTTAGCATAACTCATTAGCATATGCCACACCCCCTGACATCAGGGGCCCGGCGGTGGACCTGCAAGGCCAGCGGGAGTGCGAGGAAGCCCCGCCAAGGCCCTCCCTGGCCCCAGGCAGGCAGGGGTGGGGAGAGGCGGGGAGGAAGCAACTTACCCTCCCTCTTCTCCTGCCTCCTCCTGGCTGAATGAGGGCTGGAAGTGGGGCGGCCAGAAGCAGGGGGTGGGGCTTCGTCATGTGCCCCGCCCCCTGCACCTCACCCGGGGGAACTGCGTTCCCCCGCGTTCCCCCCGAAATGACCTCTGCTCATAAGGCTTTCTGGCCCCCCTTGGGTGGAGGGCAGTTTCCACATGCCAGTCACTGGACCCGGTTGCCAACTGCTCCCCCTGGCTTGGTCTCAGGAAGCCTGAGCATGCTGCTATTCCTGGCCCACTCCTTCTCCTCCTCACACAGCCAATGACCTGCAAGGCAGGTGGTGATATAATCTTCTGAGGCACTGTATGATTCTCCCGGCACCAAGCCCTTTCCCCTGCCGGTCTGAGGAAGTCTGGATCAACTGCTAGGCATGGCTCACTTACTCCCACTTGTCAATGAGCTGTAAGGCAGGCAGAAATTTAAATGTCCACGTCCTTGGACTGCCCACCATTAGCTGCTTGAGTGCTGTGGTGGGCCCCGAGAATCATGATGGACCTAAGCCTTTCCTCCTTCCTCTCAGTGTGGGACAGATGAATGACTCCTTAAACGGCCCTGTTCCCCCCTAGCTGTGGGAAAGGTTGTGGTGTTTGCTGCTGGTGCCCCTGACATTTATTAGCTTTTCCTTGGTCAAAATCTAAAGGTTTTTAAACTTTGCTTTGGATTCTTTAATACCCTGCTTAACAGTTTCTGGGCAAATGGCAAAGCACCCATCAGTGTGAGAGGCTGTGCTTACTTCCTCTGATAGAAATAAATAATAACTCCTCATGAACATAGGAAGTGCAGTCAGTGATGTTATTGAAAATCTTCTTTCCCCATAACTGGAATCACTAGCGTCTGGCATGAGGACCAGCTTCCTTGGTGATACTTCTCGTTGCAGCCATTTTACCTTTTCCTCTAAAAGTTGGTGAGTCCCATACGTTTCTCAGGCAGACCAAACGGCTGTCTCTACCATGATTGACAGTGGCTATTTACAGTATCAGACAGATGTCTTCCCTAATTCTGCTATCTGAGAGAACTTCAGATTGGAGATGTCATTGATACAGCCCGGATGATCTATCTATCTATCTATCTATCTATCTATCTATCTATCTATCTATCTATCTATCTATCTGTCTGTCTATCTATCTATCTATCTATCTATCTATCTCTGCTCATATGGCTATCACCTTAGGTAGAAATCAGAACCAAAGAAAATATTTTAAAAGACCTTAGTATTATTTCTCTTATATTTGATTATGCCCGGATGACCTTACGCATGCAAGAGCAGGTGCTCTGCCATTGGGGTACAGACCTTTAATTCAGAGTCAAGAACTTCTGAATAGCAAAGTAGGAGAATTGTACAAGGCTACAACTGAAAATGTTGATATGAGAACAATACCTGCTTTTTCACACAAACAATTGACTCAGCTCCACAGAAGGCTAAATCTATCAAGAATAAGCCAGTAGTCTTATCTTAAATGAATACGTTTAGCCATTTTGGAAGCTAACTAGGATAATGAATGGGACAAAAATGGGCACTTGAAAGTGAACAATAATCAGCATAACTATTTCTAACAGTG